GGGGGGGGGGGGGGAGCTAGGGGGGGTGGAAGTCAAAACCTGAGAACCACGATACCTCTCGAATGAAGAAAGATATCGAGGTCCGGTTTGAACGAAAAATCGTCTAAAATTGCATACTTTGAGATTCTAAACGTCGAAAACCCGATATCACATAGTTAAGTCAACATATCGACGGTGAAAGTCGGCAATCACATACTCGATTTGCGACGTCGCAGACTTCCTGTCATACTTTATTTTTTCAATGGAAAACTACTCAACGGCAATTCTTTAAAACTGAGAAAATTCTGCAAAAACGTCAAAAAACAATATCAATTTGTTCTCGTGTAAAAAAATGACGTAGAGGCGGAGATTTTCAGACACCGCAAACGAGTTATGTGATTGCCGACTTTCACCGTCGATATGTGCTTTCTTCCAGTTTTTAGGTCTAGAAAATTTCTTTTAAACGAAAAATTTACAAAGATCTCAAGTTTTTATTTGAGCTAAAATCAGTTTTTTAAATTGTTCGTTTTTTTCCGCATCCAACGAGTGGTCCATTAAGCTGGGGAACCAAACGGTTCCGGAGTTATGATCGATTGAAGTTTCCGCTCAACGCGCGCCGACCGATTTTCGCGCGCCAAAAAGTCGGATTTGACGGTTATTAAATCAGATTGAATGTTCAAACTGAGCAAAATGCATTATTACGGACTCGGAAGGGTCGCTGAGTTCAGAAATTACAGAGACTTCCAAAAAATTCACGTTTTAAATATTACAGCTCCGTAGCGCTATTTTAGAGGCCCACTGAGCGCCGACCGGCCGGTCAGTAGTCCTGTACGGATCCGTAATTTTAAAAACGTGAATTTTTTGGAATTATCTGTAATTTCTGAACTCAGCGACCCTTCAGAGTCCCTAATAATGCATTTTGCTCAGTTTGAACATTCAATCTGATTTAATAACAGTCAAATCCGACTTTTTGGCGCGCGAAAATCGGTCGGCGCGCGTTGGGCGGAAACTTCAATCGATCATAACTCCGGAACCGTTTGGTTCCCCAGCTTAATGGACCACTCGTTGGATGCGGAAAAAGACGAACAATTTAAAAAACTGGTTTCGGCTCAAATGAAAAATTGATATCTTTGTAAATTTTTCGTTTAGAAGAAGTTTTCTAGACCTAAAAACTGGAAGAAAGCACAAATGTTGACTTAACAATGTGATATCGGGTTTTAGACCTTCAGAATCTTAAAGTATGCAATTTTAGACGATTTTTCGTTCAAACCGGACCTCGATATCTTTCTTCGTTCGAGAGGTATCGAGGTTCACAGGTTTCGACTTCCATCCCCCCTAGCTCCTAGCTGAAAATTTGGGAAAAGAAGCGCTTAAGTATGAGTTATCAATAGACGAAGTCTGAAGAAATTCCAGAGGTGGGGCGAAAAAAGCCGTTTTTGCATCAAACTCTTTTGTGCAACACTTTGAGGCCCTAATTTTTTTCGGTCTTTCACGTGCCACAATCCGTTTTTCCAAACATCACTTACCCTAATAGTTATCGTGATATGCAATTTTGAAATTCGGGAACGCTCGTAGCGTCATTGTCCAAAGACCTATATCCTTGAAAACAAAAAATGAACAGTACCCTAAATGATACCCCCTACCCAAAGTTCCAGCTACTTGGCAACTTGGCTATAAATGGCGACTTGGAAATTGTATAGCTCACTTATGAGGCGTTTTCATGCATGTGTGTATAGGAAAAAAAGTCATATTTTGAGCCGAAAATCGATCCTGAAAGTTAAGTACCTATGTTAACTTCCGCACACCCTGTATAATTGTTCCAATACTGGAGTGTTGAAGTGTATCAATTCTTCAAACAATCTTTACTTAAGTACTTACTTCGTGAAAATTGAGTTCTAAATATAAATTTCAAAGAAAAATTGTCCAATACCTGTATCAAGTACTGAAATTGATACTTTCTGAAATATTAGCCCTCCTGTCGCAAACCTCACAGTCTCTCTGAGACCACATCCATGCAAAAAATTACACTCGTACTTCAGAAGTATTAAAACGACAGGGATATCAGGAATTACAGCATGCCGATAGCAACAAATTAATGAAAAACTACTCTGAATGTGTAGAAATGAAACTATGCCAATGAGTGATGATTAATGGATGGAGTGGTCGTGCTTACAGATAATGATTTCAGAAAAACAAATCATATTATGGATAAATGAAAGAACTTGGTATGAAGATGCTGCATTATTTGCAGGATAATGACGAGTTAAATTTCGGGAAATTTCCAGGAAATGGGGATTTTGGTGGGGGATCTGAGCTTATGTAACGTTAACATTAGGTAACTCAAGGCCAAGTGGTTGTAATGTTCTCAAATCACGATGACAAGGAGATATCGACGAAATGTACCATCTTACAAAACTCTCGGCCACCCACACTGTTTTCTAATGCACCAAATGTAAAAATCATTCTACTACTTACAGAAGTAACGAGGAACCCGGCGAAGTGATATGGAGGGTTTGCAGAAGCTTAGGATTGCAGGAAGGCTGAAGTCCGAAAGCGACGAGCGACGGAATGAACGAAAGTGATTACATATGCAGCACAAGGTAGATTTACACAGGTATGGACAGAACTAAACAACTGGCCTCTGATTGGCTCTCCAGCGGCCCCTTAACGTCAGTCATTTTGGATGTTATGATTATTTTGATTTATTATGTTCGGTTTACCGTTTGTCAAAATTTTGTGGGATTTTTTGCATAATTTTTGTTATGCAATATTAATTTTAGAGTTTAAACGCACAAACGTTTGAATGTTAATTTGATTGTAATTTAATTAAAAAACGGGCCCCTTAACCTACGTCACGAGGTCATGTGACACGTACTGAGGCTCATGGGAAATTTTCAACTTTTCCATACCTGTGTAAATCTACCTTGTATGCAGCAGCAGCATGCATCGGTAGAGGCATGGACCAAGAGAATAAATAAGGACTCCCAACTCCCTATTGAAACCTGTGTTAAAAACCGTTACCGCGCGCTTGCAGCGAACCTGGCAGAGGATGCGGTGAACTAACGCCACAATCAAGGTAGATTTACACCATATTGAGTATGTACATAGAGTCGTAATGTAATTGGGAGAGCTGGCGCCACTTTTAAGCATTTCCCATGTCCCGAATTCCGAGACTCCTGTGTGACGCCGGGTCACTTTTTCGATACATAATCGATTGTTTGCGATACACGGGTACCCGGTCATCCGATTGACAACAACAACAACAACAACAACAACAACAACAAAGGAGATAGGAATTACCACGTATTCCACACCGCCATTTTGGATCGAAAATGTATCGAAAAAGCGACCCGAACTCGGCGCACTCCGGGCTCGGAATTCGTCGAGCAAAACATGGCGCCAGCTCTCCCATTTACACATTGAGTAATCAGAGTCGTAATGTAAGTGGGAGAGCTGGCGCCATTTTTAAGCATTTTCCATGTCCCGAATTCCGAGACTCCTGTATGACGCCGGGTCACTTTTTCGATACATAATCGATTGTTTGCGGTACACGGGTACCCGGCCATGCCATCCGATGACAACAACAACAACAACAACAACAACAACAAAGGAGATGGGAACTACCACATATTCCTCACCGCCATTTTGGATCGAAAATGTATCGAAAAAGCGACCCGAACTCGGCGCACACCGGGCTCGGAATTCGTCGAGCAGAACATGGCGCCAGCTCTCCCATTTACATTTCGACTCTATGTACTCTATGCATTTACATTACGACTCTATGTACTCTATGGGCTCACAGATTAATCCAGATCGCTAACATCGGCGGAAGAGCGTGAGTAGCTTTGTGAGCGCCATTGGCGGGAAAATCCATGGGCATTTAAAACTAGGAACCAAAACTGAAATTTTGGCTATTTTCAGCAGATTTTCGGCGGGAGAATACTTCTTTTTCAGATTTTTGTGGGATGAAACGTTCCGAAGAATTCAAAAATTAGTTTCTCAGTAGAATTTATGTGGTTCAATATTTCCAGATTAAATAATTAAGGTGGAAATAAATTAAAAAGGAGAATTAATTAAAATACGAGTAAACAAGGCTAAAAATTATTGAAACACTAAAAGGTAAGACGTTTCGAGCTGCTTCCAGCTCATTTTCAGCTGCAAAAACACATAAAAACA